TAGTTTCACCTATTTAGCCCTGCAAACAGCTATTTGAAAACCGATAAACCGGACTTCACTGATATAGGTTATTTGAGGAATTAGACTTTGAGAAACTGAAAAGAAAGATAATTTCTCTTGATTTAGTCACAATTAGTCTGAAAGTTCACCTACCAATCTAACCTTTCTCTTTAAACCATTCCTTTTTTTTTTACATTTTTTTATTAGATCATAATTGTGTACATTAATTCTATCATAGGATACAGTGTGTTGCTTCCATATACAGTTTGAAAAACTCTCATCCAACTGGCTAACATAGCCATCATGTCCTTCTCACAATTGTTGTGTTAAGACATTTATATTCGACCTTTAGACAAATTCACATGTACCCTAATAGGATAAATCATAGGCGTGATCCCCACAATAAACCCATTCCTTTTTGTATAAGGTTAGCTCAGTGTAAGCCACTTAAATGCATTAAGTGGTAATCAAAGTAAGATTTGATAGTTTTTTTTAACAATTGGTAACTTGCTTTTACAATAGACAATTCTATGTTTATAGGTGTTTATATTGATATATATCTTTTTATAGATCTCTGTATGTATATGTGTTTTTAGTAAGGTGTGGTGCACCAAAATATGTTGTAGGATGATCCCACCTTTTAAAAATTGCTATTATTATTTGCTGTTTCTTGGGCCAGTGGATTGTAGTTTTCCTATCACTTCTCTTGGGCTGGAAATTGGAACGTTTAGTGCCACCTTAAGAACTTTTGAAAGCCCAAAATTGAACTAAAGCGGATTAGTAGACAATACGCATGAAATTGGGTAGATTTAAAGTGGAATAACTGCTGATTAATTTATTGTATAAATGTTTATTAGAATCAGAGGCTATTAAAACTTGAAGGAATTTTAAAGACTAGGGCTAGTCCAGCTGCCTCAATTCCAAAGAAGATACAGGCCCTAGGAGCAGAAGCGACTTTCCTTGGCTTATGTGGCTCCCTGGTGGCTTGTGATATAGAATCTCAGGAAGACTCACTCTCCTGTCTTTACTGAGGCTTGGGGAGGCTGAAAGTGATTTCTCAAAATGTTTGTCTTGTTTATGTCCCTTCAATATGGCTTTCATCTCTAGTAAGGCAGAGCACTTTGAGGGGCTGGGCCTTAGAAATAAATACATACATGGAATTTATGTATCCCCGCCACTAAATCCAAACTTCACTTTTGGATTCAGTCAAAAGGTCACCCTTAAAGATCTGGAAAGCCACATGTGGTCCCAAGGCCACAGGTTCCCCACCTCTAACTGAGATGAATAAACATGGTCCCTGCCTCATAGAGGACAAAGAATAGTTAGAACAAATAGGACAATGGGAGCGTGAGCACATTCTAAAGGGCTGTAGAAATGGTAGTTATTATTCACTTATATAGATACTAGGGTGGTTAAGGTTAGCTAATGGGTGATAGAAGGCTTTATGTCATTCTTCAGAAGTTATGAGATTGATTCTGATTTGACCCTAGTAACTATAAATGTAGTTACTAAAATAATGATCCTCCCCCATCACAATAGGCTTATATGTTTATTGATTCAGATAGTTGGAAAATAATTGAAGTTTTATGTTTCTTTTCTTTTGACAGATAATCAAATGAGTCATTTATCACTATTTGTATTGATGAGCTAGTTTAGAATTATGTAAAGAGATCTTTAATTGACTTGATCATTTAGTTCCCAATTCGTGAATTACTGTTTATTTTTTTTATCTCAAGAGATATGGAATTCTGTCATATTTGTCTGCTAACATCTTTTCAGGCTGCTTGTTTCATACCAATTATTCTACCACCTAAAACTTCTAGTATGTCAAACACAATAAATAGAAAAGTAATATTAATTGTATATTCTTATGTTGAAAGAAATACATATTCCTAAATTAAATGTAAAGGTATTTTGGATCCCCACATGGAATTCTTTCTTTGAAACAGAATAATTCACACAGTCCATAGTGTTTGTTTGTGAAAGACCAAATTTGCATAATTAATAATAGATTTATTTATTTATTTATTTATTTTGAGACAGAGTCTCACTACATCACCCTCAGTAGAGTTCCATGGCATTATAGCTCACAGCAAC